GAAATCCAGCCAGCTCCTGGAGGTTTGTAGTAGATTACACTGATTTTTGTCCGAAATTCTTTGTGCTTGGCAGTGGCAGATGTTCAGCAGCCTGGTCCCTGTGATCCAGTGAGATCCCTGCTCCCAGTCACTCCTTTAAACAGCACAGACTGGAACAAATGGTGTGAAATCTCATCTTTCCCACCAGGGCCAATTTTGTGTTGAAATTGGAACGGTCCACCTAGCAAGAATTCAGTTTTAAAACCATAAAAGGGATTACAGAGGTTACAGATACTTCTAGTAAGGGTTTTCAAGGTGGATAGGGGATTTAGGAGAGCCCCTAAAGGGAGCCAGGAACAGCCAAGGAACTCTTTGGAGCATAAGGGGCTCCTCTCCAGCACAGGCCAGGGATCATCCCTGCCCCATCTCACACTGCACACAATGGGTTAAACTGAGAAGAAAACCCCGATTTTGGTAGGTTGTTTTTCCTTTTAACCATGTTAACATCCTTTGTGTTTGTTGTTTGATTTCTGCCCTTTTATGATGGATTTTCAGTTTCCACTTCCTGGCATTTCTTTGTGACTCTGAATGCTGGGAACCTGACAAGGGAAAGCTGAGATGTTTCAGACAGAGGAGGCCTTCACACAAAAAGCCAGAAATATTCACAACCAAACGAGTGGCTTGTGAAAGAGAAAAGAAAATGAAGTGCTGGGACTTGAAAGAAGAGACAAGTCAACATTTCAAGCTGAATGTGATTATAGAATCATGGAATGGGCAGGGACACTTTCCAGAAGATCAGGTTGCTCCAAGTCCCATCCAGCCTGGCCTGGAACACTTCCAGAGATCCAGGGGCAGCCACAGCTTCTTGCCAGTGCCTCAGCACCTCACAGGGAGGAATTTCTCCTAATATCCCATCTAACCCTGCCCTCTGGCAGTGGGAATCCATTCCCTGTGTCCTGGCCCTCCAGGCTCTCAAACAAAGTCGTTCTCCCGTGGTGGTTGTACAGGGAATTGGAATAGCTGGATAAGCAGGACAAGAGCAGCCTGACTTTCTCTTTTTTGGGAAAAACCAGGATGGGCTGAGCCTGCCTGGCAGTGGTGACATGGTGTCCCTGTCCTGCCTGGTGTCACGTCCGTGCCAGGAGTGGCTCTGGCCTTGGCTGCCCCCCTGATTCATGGGAGTGGGAATTCATTGGTTGTGTCTTGCTGCAGTTTCCCTGCTCCAGGGGTGACAAACAGCACACTGAAATGTTGTTTAGGGCCTGGGTGATGTTCAGAGGCAGCAGGTTTTATATCAGCTCCCCTGGACCACTGACTGGAACCTTCTCCAGCGGGGGGAAGGAGGCTGGGGCAGGTATTGTCACACTCTGTGAGGCACAAGGTGTCCCACAGATCACTGCTGAAAGTCACTTCACTCTCCTCTGTTCATGCCAGAAATGCTCCCTTTTGCCAGCAGGAAAAGGGAAGTTTACAACAGGAAAATAAAACAGATCTCCCAAATGGGGTGGAGGCTCTGGAGAAGGGGCTGAGTTCTGCCAAGCCCACAGAGCACATTTAAAGCACTTTATATGCAGAGTGTAATTACCTTTCATGTTCTACCCTAAAATTTCATGGCGTGTTTACCAAACTTTATTTTCAGACAATTTTAGCAACAAAAATGGTAAAAATAATTTAATGTCAGAACAAACTAAATCCAATACTGGTGGTGGAGATGAAGGGAGGCTGTTGCTGACAAATGGCTGATGAAGGACCATGCAGAAAATGTGTGCTGGGAGGGAAGATGGAGTGCTGGAGATGGATCCCTGCAAGTGTCCAAGGCAGGTTGGATGGGGCTTGGAGCAACCTGGGACAGTGGAGTGTCCCTGCCCTTGACAGGGGGTGGAATGAGGTGTTCTGTAGGTTCCCTTCCAACCAAACCGTTCTGGGATTCTGTGTTACCCTGGAGAATGTGGGCTTAAATATGGGAAATATTTATGGGAGATATGGGAATGGGCTTAAATGAGGGAAAGGGAGCAGGCCCAGGGTTTGCACCTGACAAACAGATCATGGTTTCTTTTTGCTGGTGCTCTTCCAACAGTGCTTTGCCTGTGGGAGGTGTCCACCTTGCCTCTGACTCAGCCATTCCTGCTACCTGAGCTGTCATGGGCACGGCCACATAACTGTCTGACCTGACCTCAAACTTGCTGAAAAAATTCTGCAAAAAAACTCTGATTTGCTTCATTCCCCAGGTAGTTTCCTGCCTGTGTGTCCAAAGCTCAGCCTGGGAGTTTGACAGCAGTAGGAGCTGCTCTTGCTTCAGAGCCAGCTAAGCACTGCAGCTTCACGTAGTAGGTGTTGTAATGAGGAATTTCACATTGTACTTTGGCATTTGGGATGTTGTAACAGGCAGGTTTGGGGGCCAGTTATCATCCCAGCTCTTGCTCCTGTCAGCAGTGGGAAGGTCCCAAAGCACTCCTGCTATCAGCAGAGTCATTCATCCCTTGTTCCCTGTGCCAGAGGGAGCAGGGGCTGAGCTGGCCGGGCAGAGCTGACGCTGTGCTGCTGCCAGCTGGGTGACTCAGGGCTGGCAGCAGCAAGGTGCACTCCACATCTGCCCTGCTCCAAAAAAAGCAAAGGGTGAGTGAGGATGAAGCCTGGCACAGCAAAGTCGCTGCCAGGAGAGCGTGGGAGTGCACATGGATTGGCAGGGCTGGGAACACAGCTGGGCAGCTCCGCTCTGGGAGTTTGCCCTGACTGTGGAGAGGAGCTGGGGATCCCAAAGGGACACTGCAAGTGTGGCCTTTTCCAGAATCGCAGTTATTTAGGTTGGAAAGACCTCTGAGATCATCAAATCCCAAACACCACCTCGTTAAGCAGACCTGGCACTGAGTGCCACACCCAGCCTTTCCAGAGGTGGTGACTCCACCCCGTCCCTGAACAGTCCATTGCTGTTTATCTGCCATTCTTATTGCTGAATGTCAGGGCTCCTTTTTCCACAACAGTTTTCTTCACCTGTTTCTGGTGCCCTGCAGCTCCAGGGACTGTCATTGATCCATCATTTCCACAGATTGATGGCAGCTGTGGTTACAGCCAGGCTGAGGAGGTGCAGTGATTTCCTAGGTGGGCACTATAAATTCTGGTCCTGCTTTCCCCTTCCTTGCTGCATTTCCCAGCTCAGCAGCCCCAGGTGGAAGGGGCTAGCATAGCAAGAGAGCCTGACAGAGGGACATGTGGCACTTCCCAGGTCCCTGTGGGTCTGGTCAGTGCATGGGCAGCATTTGGTGCTTCCCCTGCTTGGGTCTGGGGTCCTCTGGTTCTGTGGACGTGTCCAAAATCCCAGCAGAGGTGTGAGCAGAGTAAAGGGAAGGTTGTGTGTCTGTGCCTTCAGCTGTGCCCTGGGTGCAGGAGAAGCATAGAGAGAGACTTATTTATTTATTTACAAGACCACCTAGTACCAGGATAGGGAGGAATGGCTTCCCACTGCCAGAGGGCAGGGTTACGTTTAGAAAAAGTTATTCCTGTGAGGGTGGGCAGGCCCTGGCACAGGTGCCCAGAGAAGCTGTGGCTGCCCCTGGATCCCTGGCAGTGCCCAAGGCCAGGCTGGACAGGGCTTGGAGCAGCCTGGGACAGTGAAAAGTGTCCCTGCCCATTCCATGATTCTATAATCACATTCATCTTGAAATGCGTGCTTGGAAGTGTCCAAGGCCAAGCTGGACAGGGCTTGGAGCAGCCTGGGATAGTGGAAGGTGTTATTTGTGTAAGGCTTGAAACTGGCTGGGCATTAAGATCCCTTCCAAGCCAAACCATTCCGGGATTCTGTGCCACAGCAGGGCATGGTGAGTGCGTGTGTGTGGTTAAACCCAGCTTGGGAGGATGTGTGAGCTGCTGTTGGAGCCTTTGTGGGTGTGCTGCAGGGTGGCTGTCACCCAGGCCTTAGCCCAGCCANGTTCGGGAGGTGCAGTTTGTGTTTGGGTTCAGGAGGTGCAGTTTGGGTTCAGGAGGTGCAGTTTGTGTTTGGGAGGTGCAGTTTGGGTTTGGGTTCGGGAGGTGCAGTTTGGGTTCGGGAGGTGCAGTTTGGGTTCAGGAGGTGCAGTTTGGGTTCAGGAGGTGCAGTTTGGGTTCGGGAGGTGCAGTTTGGGTTTGGGTTCCGGAGGTGCAGTTTGGGTCCGGGAGGTGCAGTTTGGGTTCAGGAGGTGCAGTTTGGGTCCGGGAGGTGCAGTTTGGGTTCAGGAGGTGCAGTTTGGGTTCGGAAGGTGCAGTTTGGGTTCGGGAGGTGCAGTTTGTGTTTGGGTTCAGAAGGTGCAGTTTGTGTTTGGGTTCAGGAGGAGCAGTTTGTGTTTGGGTTCGGGAGGTGCAGTTTGTGTTTGGGTTCGGGTTCCGGAGGTGCAGGAGGTGCAGTTTGTGTTTGGGTTCGGGAGGTGCAGTTTGGGTTCGGGAGGTGCAGTTTGTGTTTGGGTTTGGGAGGTGCAGTTTGGGTTCGGGTTCCGGAGGTGCAGTTTGTGTTTGGGTTCAGAAGGTGCAGTTTGTGTTTGGGTTCAGGAGGTGCAGTTTGTGTTTGGGTTCGGGAGGTGCAGTTTGGGTTCAGGAGGTGCAGTTTGGGTTTGGGTCCGGGAGGTGCAGTTTGGGTTCGGGAGGTGCGGTTTGGGTTCGGGAGGTGCGGTTTGGGTTTGTGTTCGGGAGGTGCAGTTTGGGTTGGGTTCAGAAGGTGCATTTTGTGTTTGTGTTCAGAAGGTGCAGTTTGGGTTTGGGTTCGGGAGGTGCAGTTTGGGTTTGATTTCTGGTGCAGTTTGTGTTTGGGAGGTGCAGTTTGTGTTCGGGAGGTGCCGTTTGTGTTTGGGTTCTGGTGCAGACTCAGACTGCCAGCAGGTGTCAGAGGAGCAGAGCAGTTCCCCCAGTGCCTTGCAGAGCACTGGTTTTGCTGCCTGCTGTGGTCACCCAGCTGTCGGGAGTGGCTTTTCCCTTGTCCCCAGCAGAGAGGAGGCTGGGGCAGAGGCAGTGTGGCCCCAGCACAGCCCCCAGCTGCCATTGCCCCCGTGGGAGCTGACAGGAGCTTTGTGCCCCGCAGGTTGCAGTGCTGCTGATGGACACCCAGGGCACCTTTGACAGCCAGTCCACCCTCAGGGACTCTGCCACCGTGTTTGCCCTCAGCACCATGATCAGCTCCATCCAGGTAAGGAGTTCAGCCAGGAACTACAGAGCCTGTCAGGGCTTCCTTCCTCCCACTGGGACCTTGCCCTGTCCCCGTGGGGATATCACAGCTTTAGCCACACCAGCCACGTGTTAGCCCCAAGGACAGGCTGCTCTGAGTGGTCTGAAGTTGGTTTTTTATTTCGATGCAGGTTTATAACTTGTCCCAGAACGTGCAGGAGGATGATCTGCAGCACTTGCAGGTAAGAGAAGCTTTGGGGTAACCTAATTGGGCATGGAGTGACCCCAGGGCTTCCTCTCCTGGAGGGCAGGGTTGGATGGAGTAAAGGAAGGAATTTCTGCCTGTGAGGCCCTGGCACAGGTTTCCCAGAGAGGCTGTGGCTGCCTCATCCCTGGGAGTGTCCAAAGCCAGCTTGGATGGGAGCTGAAACAACCCTGGATGGTGGAAGGTGTCCCTGTCCATGGCAGAGGTTGGAACTGGGTGGGATTTCAGGTCCCTCCCAACCCAAACCTTTTTTTTTTTTGATTCTGTAATTTGATTCTGCGATTTGATTCTGTGATTGTGAATTACCAGCCTGGATGTTGCCATCTGGTGCTGCCTCAGTACAGGTGACCCTCTAAGGGTGATTCCAGCCCTGACTGTTGGGGACAAGCAGCTAATGGGATTTTTGTGACACAGGTGTCCTGCCTGTTTCCTGGAATTACCTCCTGCTTTCTCTTCTGTTCAGTTGATTAATTAATAGGTTTTTCCAGGAGCTTAAGGAAAGGAAAGAAAAGCAAAAGTCCAGCTGAAAAAATCAGCATTTGAATACTTCTGAATTATCTCGGTCCATAAATATTATTAACAATAACACTTCTTTAACACTGAATTTATTCAGTGCAGCTCTGATCTTTCAGTTTGGATTTTAAGCCATGACTGTTTAACAAGTTGACCCATTTTTAGGCATCTGTGAAACACATTATTGTGCCTTCAGTTAGAAATTAGAGTGCAGAGAGACTGGAGAGTCCTCAAACTTTGCTTCTAGGCTGATTTTGGAGTCTTTGCACAGCAGGGGTTTGCAGGGAAAGTACTTAGCTCTGAATTCATTTCCTTTCCTTCCTGGAGTGTTTGCAGGGAGCTCCAGCAGCCCCTGGAGCACGAGGAGTTTCTGGTTGGTGTGAAAGCAGCAGCAAGCAGCTGATGTGAGCCATTTTCCACAGCTTTGGCAGGCAGGAGCTGCAGGCTGGCATCTCTCACATGAGAGCTCAGCAGGGTGATGGTTCCACAGCAGCTCCTGTGCCTCTGGGATGCCAGCTGGNTTCCTGTTCACCTTCATGGCCTCAGCCCTGGAGGTCAGCTGTGAGCTGCAGTGCAGGTTATGGTAACACACAGTGCCTTAAAGTGCCAGAGGGGGCATTTGGGGAGGGTGAATTCCCAAAGGAGCCATTTGGGGAGGGTGAATTCCCAAAGGAGCCATTTGGGGAGGGTGAATTTCCCAAAGGAATCATTTGGGGAGGGTGAATTCCCAAAGGAACCATTTGGGGAGGGTGAATTCCCAGAGGAGCCATTTGGGGAGGGTGAATTCCCAAAGGATCCATTTGGGGTGGGTGAATTCCCAAAGGAGGCATTTGGGGAGGGTGAATTTCCAAAGGAGCCATTTGGAGAGGGTGAATTTCCCAAAGGAGCCATTTGGGAAGGGTGAATTCCCAAAGGAACCATTTGGGGAGGGTGAATTCCCAGAGGAGCCATTTGGGGAGGGTGAATTCCCAAAGGAGGCATTTGGGGAGGGTGAATTTCCAGAGGAGGAATTTGGGGAGGGTGAATTTCCCAAAGGAGCCATTTGGGATGGGTGAATTCCCAAAGGAACCATTTGGGGAGGGTGAATTTCCAGAGGAGCCCTTTGGGGAGGGTGAATTCCCAAAGGAGCCATTTGGGGAGGGTGAATTTCCCAGAGGAACCATTTGGGGTGGGTGAATTTCCCAAAGGAGCCATTTGGGGAGGGTGAATTTCCCAAAGGAGGCATTTGGGGAGGGTGAATTTCCCAAAGGAGCCATTTGGGGTGGGTGAATTCCCAAAAGAGCCATTTGGGGAGGGTGAATTTCCCAAAGGAGCCATTTGGGGTGGGTGAATTTCCCAAAGGAACCATTTGGGGTGGGTGAATTTCCCAAAGGAGCCATTTGGGGAGGGTGAATTTCCCAAAGGANACCCCAGAGACACCTTCAGCTTGCAACAGATAAGCTTCCTGCAAACCGCAGCTCTCTGGAGAGCGTCCCGAGGGATGGAGGCTGACTGCAGCCTCTGTTCGGGGCTTGGCTCTGGTGCTCTTGGTGGCACTGTGATATGGCATGGAAACTCCAGAAGGGAGCCACACAGATATCACTGCTGGTCACACAGATCCCCTGAGAGCTGCTGATAAGCAGCCTGACACGGTGCATACACGGTACTCTGTTCCAAGGAACAAGCAAGTTCAGGCTTCCCATCAGACCTCGATTTTCTCTCCTTGCTGGTTTGTATTCCCTACAGTAATTTGGTTTGAATGCCCTCAGAATGGCAGCACTGCCTGGCATTGGTGTTGGTGTGTGTGTGACATCTGAGCTGGGGCTGTTTTGCTTGGAGAAGAGAAAGCTCCAGGGACACCTCACTGTGGCCTTCCAGGACTTGGAAGTGGCTTATAAAAATGGAGAGTGACTTTGTACATGGGCAGATAGTGGTAGGACAAGGGGGAAATGATTTTAACTAAAAAAGGAGAGATTACATTAGATATGAGGAAGAAACTCTTCTCTGTGAGGGTGAGGAGGGTGCCCAGAGTAGCTGTGGCTGCCCCTGATCCCTGGCAGTGCCCAAGGCCAGGCTGGACGGGCCTGGAGCACCCTGGGACAGTGGAAGGTGTCCCTGCCATGGCAGGGGGTGGAATAAGATGATTTTTAAGGTCCTTTCTAACCCAAACTCTTCTGGGATTGTGATTTCAGCAGGAGAATTGGAGCCCAGGCTGCAGCTCCTGTTTTCTGCAGGAAATCCTGGGGTCCAGGAGAGCCTGAGAGCAGGGCTGGCAGATTGGGCTCCTCAGGCTCTGCTCAGGCTGTGTTTGCACTGATGGTGGGACAGGGCTGGGTTTCGTGCTCTGGAATGAAATGGATTTCTTGTGCAGGCTCACACCAGGACAAGGCTGGTTCCTTTGTGGCACTCAGCATTTCTGTGACCTGTTCTTCCATGGCTGAGGGAGAGCAGGCTTCAGCAAGCACTCACCAAACATTGCATACTTAGTGGCTTGTAATTAACTCCTAGAGAAGAATAAATTAAGTCAATTACATTAGACATGTCTGTGAGTCTGCACAATGTGAAACACGCTGTTTCAATTTAATTAATTCAGTCCAAAGCAAATCTTAGACCAGTAAAAGAATTCTTTGCCTTTTTTATGCTGTCTGACAGCAAATCCTGCTCTCCTTCCCCTTCCCACTTGCAGTGGCCATATGGAAAAGAGCTGTGTGGCTTCCACCCCGCTCGGGAATGAGCTGTTATGAAATGGGGAGAAGGATCCTGTGAATTTATCCTGTGAATTTCTGAATGAGCAGCTGGAGAATTGACGTAATTGCAGAGCCGAGAGAAAGGAGGAGTCAGCTCAGAAAAGGAGTGAAAACAGGAGTGAGTTCAGCAAAGCTGAGCTCTCCTTCCTTTCCTTTTTGGCTGCATGAGTTTTTGCCACTGCCAGGTACAGCTTCCTTCAAGGCAAAAAACTCATTTATGGCCAGACAGACCAGTTAAAATCATTGACTCCCAGTAGTGTGCAGGCATTTTATAAAACAATCCCTGGCTCTGCAGTGGGGCGGATAATCTAACAAACAGAACCTGGAAGTTTCATCACATGGAAATACGAACATAAATATGAAAAATAAAGTTTTGTCTGCAGATGGCCTACATGAAAGAAGCAGAGGTAGGGATGAAATTAGTTCAGAGATCTGCTTAATGTAATCTTTCCTTCCTGTTGTCTCCAAGGACCTGGGGAATCAACATATCCTGCACATAATGCTTTGTGTTGTGCAGACAGCCTGCTTCTCCTGGTGCTTCAGGTGGTGGAAACAAGGATGTCCCCTAGGAGAACATGGCCACTAATGTGTCTCCCAAAATCTGTTCATGTCTGCTTAAAACATTTACTCTCCTTCAGATGATGGTGATTTGAAGAGACAGAACAATCCCTTTTCCTCTGTACTGGTTGTTGCTTCAGCTGCTGGAAAGAGCAGAGGGAGAAGAAGGTGTGGAAGGTCCCAGCCAGGCCCCAGGAGAGAGGATCTGTCACGAGGAGAGAGGATCTGGTCCCAGCAGAGGGGATCTGGCCCCAGCAGAGGGGATCTGTCACCAGGAGAGAGGATCTGTCCCCAGCACAGGGGATCTGTCCCCAGGTGAGGGGATCTGTCCCCAGCAGAGGGGATCTGTCCCCAGCACAGGGGATCTGTCCCCAGCAGAGGGGATCTGTCCCCAGCAGAGGGGATCTGGCCCAGCACAGGGGATCTGTCACCAGCAGAGGGGATCTGTCACCAGCAGAGGGGATCTGGCCCCAGCAGAGGGGATCTGTCCCCAGGTGTCCCCGTGACAGGGCTGGCAGGGGACTCTCCTCAGCCCCCAGCTCTGGGAGGTCCATTCCATTCTCTGACCAGGGGCATCCAAGGATTTGAGCCCATCCTGGTACCCTCTGCTAGTGCAGGATGAGTAAACACAGAAATCATGGAATCCAGAACAGCTTGGGTTGGAAAGGACCTCAAACCCATCCAGTGCCACCCCTGCCATGGCAGGGACACCTCCCACTGTCCCAGGCTGCTCCCAGCCCTGTCCAGCCTGGCCTTGGGCACTGCCAGGGATCCAGGGGCAGCCACAGCTGCTCTGGGCACCTGTGCCAGGGCCTGCCCACCCTCACAGCTGGGAATTTCTTCCTAAAATCTAATTGAATCTCTTCTCTTTTAGTTTGAATCCATTCCCTGGCTCCTGTCCCTCCATCCCTTGTCCCCAGTCCCTCTGCAGCTCTCCTGGAGCCCCTTCAGGCCCTGCCTGGGGCTCTGAGCTCTCCCTGGAGCTTTCCCTTCTCCAGGGGAACATTCCCAGCTCTCCCAGCCTGGCTGCAGAGCAGAGGGGCTCCAGCCCAAGTTGTGCTCCCACCTCCCTCTGTCTCTGTGCCCAGGGTGGGATTTGTCTGGCTGGCTGGGTGGCACAGCTGTTGCACCCTGATGGCTGACTTAGAGTCAGAAATATTTAAGTTTAATTTGATTTACA